TCGTTCCGGCCGGCAGCCCAATAGTGCTTACATGTGTGGCTCCTTTAAGGCAGGAGCTATCCCAAGGCACCACTATTTTTGCCATTTTTGTCCTCTGATGCGAACAAAGAATAGACACAGCCACGACCATTCACTTCATCGGGAGGCTCGCGCAACCCGAAAAATGTGTTCGGTGGCAATAATACTGCTATACACTGCGTCCCATAATTATACGTCCACCTAAGAATTTCCCAAAATCTCAGAAATACAGATGTTACGAAAAAAGTCTCCTATGTGACAATGTATCGCATATAAATACGCAATTGCCTATGAACATCAATTTTCTATTTGAGATCACAGGAATTTTTCCCAATAATTTTTGTGTAAAAGGCCACTCAGCCGACGTCCCAAAATTATACGTCCACCTCACGTTTATCGATTACTTTTCACTTCTGTTCCACGAAACTTTTTCATTGTGGTAACACTTCACTTCTTAAGAAACAGCATAATAAAGACTGCTGTTGGATTTTGAGAAAGGGAAAATGTCGCAAAAACTGTTGAACAACGGAACCGCACCAGATTTGGTCCAGATTCACGCCAAGCTTGAGAATTTTTTCAGGGGTTTCACATGATATGGAGCTTAGAAGAGCTCTAAAAGTCTCTCATTACTTTTCGATGGAAACAAAAGGCCGTGTTACAGAAATAACATCCATTTTCATCCAACGGTGCTCTGTCATCGAATCTTCTTGAGAACTTTATGCCTCAACAGACTTTTGTTTCATGCATGTAAAGGAATCCCAAGATCGTTCTTGATCGGAAAATGTGAAAGACGTTCATTTGTGGCAAGGAATCGTGGCGAAAACTGGGCTGATTTTTGCATGAAGGTGCAGCCGAGCCGACTGAAGTAAGGTTCGCTTCTGCCCGATATGTTTTGGCATTTGTTTGTTTCTTCTCACGTTTACCTTTCCCTTAATGGCTTTTTTCTTAGAAGCACTACTAAAAGAAAGAAAATGTTGAAAAGAAAGACAGACAAACACTCATGCATAGCAAGGAAAAAAGGACCCTGCTCCAGTCGGCTCGGCTGCACCTTCATGCAAAAATCAGCCCAGTTTTCGTCACGATTCCTTGCCACAAATGAACGTCTTTCACATTTTCCGATCAAGAACGATCTTGGGATTCCTTTACATGCATGAAACAAAAGTCTGTTGAGGCATAAAGTTCTCAAGAAGATTCGATGACAGAGCACCGTTGGATGAAAATGGATGTTATTTCTGTAACACGGCCTTTGTTTCCATCGAAAAGTAATGAGAGACTTTTAGAGCTCTTCTAAACTCCATATCATGTGAAACCCCTGAAAAAATTCTCAAGCTTGGCGTGAATCTGGACCAAATCTGGTGCGATTGCGTTGTTCAACAGTTTTTGCGACATTTTCCCTTTCTCAAAATCCAACAGCAGTCTTTATTATGCTGTTCCTTAAGAAGTGAAGTGTTACCACAATGAAAAAGTTTCGTGGAACAGAAGTGAAAAGTAATCGATAAACGTGAGGTGGACGTATAATTTTGGGACGTCGGCTGAGTGGCCTTTTACACAAAAATTATTGGGAAAAATTCCTGTGATCTCAAATAGAAAATTGATGTTCATAGGCAATTGCGTATTTATATGCGATACATTGTCACATAGGAGACTTTTTTCGTAACATCTGTATTTCTGAGATTTTGGGAAATTCTTAGGTGGACGTATAATTATGGGACGCAGTGTATACAACCATCAGGAGGATCGCTCCGCGGGTAGACGGGCAGGAGAAACCACCGGGTTACGAGCACGCCCACTCGTCCGTGATTGACCCCCACCACACGGTACTGTGGCCAGACACGAGCCAGCATATGC